GCTACCATCCTCAGCTTTATTATACAGCCGCTTACCATCCTCAGTTTTACTACACTGCCACTTACCATCCTCAGCTTTATTATACAGCCGCTACCATCCTCAGCTTTATTATACAGCCGCTTACCATCGTCAGCTTTATTATACAGCCGCTTACCATCCTCGGTTTTACCACACAGCCACTTACCATCCTCAGCTTCCTTTGCCCTCCTCAAAGCTGATGTGATCTCTTGGTTCAGTGATGCCACCTCGTTCCTCAGCAGCTGGTTCTCAAGCTCTAATGATGACAACTTTTGAGACTGGTCCACTGCACTGCTCTGTTGCATCGACCCATCCTCAGATATCATGATGCTCACATCGTGCTCAGCAGAAGACAGTTTGGTCACACTCTCGGCAATCTGGCTGCCTTCCTGGCTTGTCTCCATACCTGGCAATTACATTACGTACAATATTTATCATATCAAAGGAATTAACACGCATTATATAAATATTCATTATTCATTTCCAGTCAAATATTACATTAGCCTAAGTTTGAACCTAACCCGGGAGATGTGGGGCATTAATGCTTTGTTGCAAAGCTCCCTTGACTTCAAGATGAAATGTTTGGGGTTCAAGTCCTACTGTAGTAACAACGGTTATGCCCCTGAGCAAGACACTTTGCCAACTTTGCTAACATCACACCTGATGGCATGCTGGCGGTCTCCACGTAGCCACTCCTGTGTGACGACACGGACGAAGTGCTCGACTTTCTCGAATGTCCATTCACCTGCGCCGTGCGTATTTTAGCCGGACCTGCTGGCTCATCACTGTTCAGGAACTCAAACAGCAGCTGTTCGTCCTTATCCTGTGCTCGCCGACTTTTCCCCGCCGCGCGCTGCTTCGGGGAATCAATCAGGGACCGGCTCGGAACGCTCCCGACAGCCTGCGTGAAGTCGACCGGGGGCGGAGGTGGCGGGACGGCAGCGAGATGTGGGATGCGTGGCCCAGCATTCATGGCATCGAGTTCGCCGATGCGCGGGACAGCGACAGAGGCACCATGCTGCACCGGCGTATGAAGAGCACTGGCCGTTTTCTGGTCAACCTTGTTCAGGAGTTCCTCAGCTCCCTTCGCAATTCCGCTCAGCCATGACATGGCAATGCGTCATCAAACACTGAACATCCCCAATGATTCACAAGCGTTGATGCCTTGTCTTTTATCAATTAGAGATCTACAAATTAGGTAAAATTTTAGGGGTGTGTTACAAATAATAATATTCATCTAGTAACTTGCAATAACTAATCTTATCAGAAATTATGAGTTACAAAAATAGATTAGCTGTTTAGTCTATTCCAAGTTAAACTTGTATATACTTCATACTCGAGTTGATATTGATTGAGGGACTGTAGTCTGTACACAGTCACAGTACAGTGTTCTGTGCTACTAAATCGTATTCGTAATATAGGCCCCTACTAATACTAGTAGTAGTAACTAATAGTAATAATACAGAGACATCATAGTTGAGTCAGAGTGTAACCTGTCCTAGTCACAGGCACTTGGAACGTCGCAATAAAAAAAAAATGTAAACACGAAATGTATTTACTACCAGTCTTAATGTTTCTCTACTCTATTTCGCCTATTATTTCCGATAATCACATGTAAATGCCGTTCAAATGCTCATCTGCAACACACAAGTACACCGCATGCCCGCCCTGTGCACAAACAACATGAGTTGTGTTAAAACAAAGAGAGTTGTGTTATTCATGTTGTTTGTGCATGTTGTGCCCAAACTTGGAATCTTGCACAAACTTGGAATTTCAGCGCATCCGCAGTTTGGGCAACCAATCTTGAGATTGGGCAAACAGAGGTAAACAGAGCTTGCACAAACATATGATTATTAGGATTTCAAATGTTATATCATAACTATAAGGTCGTCTACCTTCTTTTCTGAATGTGTTTGGCATTTTTGTATAAATATTAAATGATTATAATAAATAATTGGATAAT